TGCAGTGTGTATGCATCTTCCCCTTCCAAAAACTTAACTGTTTTTTCTTTTTTCTCCCCTGTAGCTTTCCACAGCTTCCAGGCTGTTCCGTAAGCCGCAGGGTGGGCAGGATCGTGGTATACATCACCAAGTTTTCCAACCATGTCTCTTAATTGTTTTTTTAATTTGCTTTTTATTACCTTTTTTTGTCTGTTTTTTTGTATGTTTTTTAAACTGTGTTTTAGGTTTTACAACACGCCCTGTACTTCTGATCACTGTGAGCCCAGAACCACTTTGATTCCTAGCCGTAATGATGTCAGATCTTCTGGTTGAGTTAGACACTAGCTCCAATGGAAAATTAATAGAAGATAAGGCGTGGATAAAATTTGAAAGTCCCACAGGCTCAAAATTTTTGCGTGTTCGTGTCAGGTCGGAAATAAGATCGATAATATTCGAGTTCGGAACAGGTTTGCTGTTAATCGAGACGGTTCCCGCAGAATCCCATGTGATTTTCGAGTCCGCCTGTTTTAAATAATCAAATATTCTGAGTGCATGTGCTTTATATGTTTTTGGCAGCGCTGCAGAGAGTTGTCGACGAAGCATCGCACCGCTTTCATCGTCATCCTCCTCTTCCTGTGTGATTCCCTCGAGAGAAATGTGTAGAGGTTTTGTGCGCTCTTTTGTAAAATGTAAATACCTCTGTAAAACCTGATTATAAACTTTCCACTTTTCAGAATCATCTGCATATTTTTTATCGCGCATAATCTTTTCCATCTCTGAGTCAAGTGAGCTCGATTGAGTTTGAATGGCGGATGGTGTTGTGTCATTCATCCTGGCCACAGTCTCGTGTGGCACAAGGATCATTTTTTTAACGTGATTCATTTAAAAAGACTAGGGAGAACGGATGCTACAGTCGACAGTAAAAGCGGTAGGAAAGACCCGCCTGTCTGAAGAACTTGCTTTTTTGATTTCCACCCCTCACCCTTTTGGGCCAGACGGCGAATCTGAGAGCGGTATCTTTTGAGTTTGGCCCTCTGACTTGAAGTGAGTCGAATGTTACCACTCAGAAGATTATCGCAGATCTCACAGATCGAATAGACAAGTGCCTTGTCGGAGTTATCGAGGATAGCTTTACGTAGCTTCGGCTTAGCAGCCTGCAGAACCTGAAGTACCGCTTTGTGCGTTTTCACGCGAGGGGCCATCGTGTGCTAATGAACTAATGAGTGATCCATCTCTCTTTTATACTTTCCCTTGGGTATGTACACGGCCGTGGACTCGCCAGGAAAAATGGATGTACGCATGCGCAAGTGTTCTTGTTGTGAAGGTTTGAAATCAAACAAGATGTATGTAAAGCCAGCTTTTGTAGCATCATGATAGGCCTCAAGGAGAGCGCGAAAATGTGTAGGATCAACTTGCATGCAGAACGTTCGTATCTGAGCGAGATCTCGACTGGTTTTAAAGAGAATTATATAGTGAGAGTTCAGGCTGATCTGTCTTAGGCCGTCAGGATAGAGACACTGACTTAAAAAGAAAATGGATAAATTTCGATGATGACTGCCCTTGATGAAAAACTTAAGGATTTCCTCGTGGTGTGATTTTATTTCATCCATAAAATCGTCAATGACGATCAACTTAGGCCCTTGGCCAGGGGGATGATCCTCGAGGAGGGGGAGTTCTTGTCTGAAATCCACTGAGTGTTTGCTCCGCAGGTCCTCGTAGAGAGGCTGCCACTCTGAGTAATAAAAAATGATTTGTTCAAGTGTAACATTAAACATTTCAGCTCTGTTCTCAATTAAACGTTTTGTGAAATGGGTTTTCCCACTCCCCGTCCCTCCGACCACTAGGGCCGTACAGGGGTGTTGAAACCTCAACTCCATTGTCAAGACTGATGACTCATTGTGTGCCTGTCTCTCTTTTATAGGGCCAGCCTGCTCCTCCCTTGCGCAAGTGTGTTGCCTATCTATTAGGCGTCCCTCAAAGTTTCAAGGGCCTCAAGTAATGCTTGATCCTCCTGCTCAGCATTAAGCCAGCGATTGTACCCATGGGGAACGGTGTCCCCCTCGCCGACACGGCGCCTCTTGGAGTTCTTTGCCTGCCATTTCTTAGAGGTGTCACGGGTGACAACTCTCCAACCCGGAAGCCTTGCAATCTGTCTTGGAATCGGGACTGTTATAGCATCTTTCTGTCCTAAGACCATAGCCTTAAGATTGTGAAATGTGACAAGTTGATCACATGACTTGTTAATATTGATTCCTCTCACTTTTATAACGACCCCTACATTGTTTGGGTCACCCCCCTTTGCCACCAAATATGAATAGTTTTTAGGTCCTGCACAGACCATTTCTAATATGAAACTTCCAGGGCCGAACTGCTCACTGACTTGATCTGTTAGGTCCCCCAAGTGAGTTCCCAGACGCAGCTCTGGCTCTCCCGGGCGGCTAATGTATGCACAGGAATCGGTATCAGCGTAAATAGCTCTCTCCCGCACTGTGTCTAAGTATTGGTACAATTGCATGCGACCGTGACATGTCGTGAATGCAGCGTGAAGAAGGGATGAGGTTGGGAGAGATTCTTCGCTGTCATTGACCGGTTTCCAAGACACTTGGAGACATGTTTCGGAAAGAGGCAGAAGAGTCTGTACAATTTTTTTAGGGTCTGAAATAATGTGCATCAGTTCCCCATAATCATACACAAATTCTGTTTTTGACCTTAGGCATTTCTCGCCAAATTTACCCCAGAATGAATTGAGCATAAGCTTGCTGAGCTGACGCAGGGCAGGATTGTATTCCATTTTATTTGGGTCTATTGTAATTCCCTCACATTTTAATATTTCTTCCACGTATTTTTGCTGTGCTTCTGGTGTATCACAGTTTTCAGGCCAACCACTTGCCTGAATCTTTAGTGCCATGAAACAGCGTACATAGGCTGATAAGAGCCCATCCTCCCCAGTTTCAGGATTGTATTTCATTTCCCCCGGGTATTGATACACTTCATGCACTGTGCTTAACTGATATGACTTTTCCAGAACGGCGAGCTTGATTTCAGGGGCGCACCACGTTCCCGTCAACTGTCGGTCTTCTGGATTGTCATGAGAGCAAATCTCCTCACTCTCAGTTTCAGCGCAAAGCCGACAGAGAGGGAAATGTAATTTTCCCCCACATTTGTAAGGCAAAACGGGGATGAACAAATCCCGAGGAGGTAGTAAAGTTGCCTTGATAACTCCGTTCCACTCATGTACATCTGGCATAGTGGGGTCACCCTCCAAAAAAATGCGAGGGTGCCCAAAACTATACTTTCCCCGCAGGTTGGCTGCAGGATATTCAGAGATAACATCGACCATCATTATTTTTTCGCCCTCTTTCAGATTTGCTTTGTAATACGCTTTGAATGCACTTGTTCGTCCGCCTGCTAAGGCATCACGAAGATTGAGCGGCTGAGTTCTCTGTGTAGGGTGTGATTCAAAGTAGTTTTTGACATCAGGATCATTTTCCATGTCCCATTTAAAATCACATTCCCATTTCTCAATGACTTTATATCCATGTGTACGGAACATCTGGGTGATTTTCTGAGTCTGTTGAAAACGGTTAACACCGCAGCCTTCTTCTGAGGGGTAGTGCTTTGGACAGTGGTGCCAGTAACACCCGTGAAACTGGTAAATTCTGCGTTCAATTGTGTTGTCAATGAGAGAAATCTCAACATATCCATCGACACGCCGGCCCAGGACGGACACCTCACGATCTGTGTGTATGGTTTTGATCGTTTCCCCTAATTTGAATGATTCATAGTCTAACCACTGTAGAGCGACGTGACTTTGCTTCCCCCTTCCGTGGTAACCCCCTGGTGGCACAATACCAATCGTGTCTTTCTGTAGAAAGTTTCTCCTAAAGGCTGCCATACACGCACCGCTGAGGGAAATGCAGTTGAACATTGGATCAAACCCTGCTTTTTCCGAGAAAAGAGAGCGAAAGGATTGGCACGCCTGTCTGAGGATCGTTACGTCTGATATACAATAGTCGATCAGTTCCTTGCGGAAGTTGAAAACATAGTTGTTTTCAACTTGATCCTTATACCATTGCTCAAACTCATAGTACGCCTTATCCTTCATACCTGAGCTGCAATAATACTTTTTATCAAGCATAGGACCAACATAAGAATAAAATTCTGATCGATTAGCCAGATAGCACCAGTGGCCTTTCTTGAGCTCGGTAAGACCAAAGCTCTTTGGCATAGCAGCGAGTGGCATGGGTAAGAACATCAATGAATCAATGAACTTGAAGTTGCCTATTTTAAGGCAAATTATTTTGGCCCCCTGTAGTGTAATTTCGGGCTTAAGCCCGTGAGCTATCAGCTCCTGAAGAATGAACAACACATCATACGCTTTTGCATTGTGTGCTACGAGCAAAATTTCTGTCTTTGCAGGGAAAGATTTTAAATATGTGAGAAACTGTTGGACAACGTTGATATTTTTGTCATCCAAATTATGAAATATGTGCTGGCGATTTTGGCAGTTCTCACAAAAATATTCATTTTGATCGATGTGCTTACATTGATCACAGACAGTTTGTGTCACTAAAAGGTTTGGTTTGTGCTCAAAAATGTCGTCTTTTCCCTCTATGGGGTCCACTTGAGAACATTCAAAATCGTAGTAGACCGTCAAATATTTCCACTTAGGGCGCTTTTCTCGTTCAGACCACGGCGTCATGTAGCATAAGTGATTTTCCCTGACGTTGTGTTTGCAATACTGGCAGTACACTGTGTTACAGACATGTGACGCCTCACGTTGAGTACTATAACTTGTAGAACACAACGCACAAAATTTAAATGTCTCACACTTTGTTTTAGTGGCACGGTGTAGTTTGATGGTCTTATGATTTTCTAGACAATCCGGTCCTGCAAATTGATGACCGCAGTCTCCACAACGCTCAAGAACCACCCCAGGTTGATCATGAGGGTCCGGGCCAAAGCACCGCCAACATGATCCTTGGCACTGATGCTCTCCTTTCTTATTAAAGAACACAGCGCACTTTTCACAGTCATAATCATAATCAAAGGCTTGCCGAGGAAACATGATTGCAGAAAAATGCTCTTTGTGAAGCAAGAGATATATGTTTTTTAAGCCCACTGCATAGTCCCCCTTGTAAACACAGTCTTTGCCTTTCTTATCTGTGAAGACAATGATCCTATAGGTAGCCTTAAGAAATTCCTGCAGTCGAGCGACTTCAGCCAGACCGCATGATTTCTGTGAGTCAATGCCTGCCGATTGGCACAGATAAAGTGCCTGTTCTGTTAGCACATTACCCACATCTTTTTTTATTTTGTACAGGACTCTGCGTTCTTCATTGTATTTAGCAATAGCCACACTAACACTTCGTGTAAGACACATGCTGTCATTCGTGTTTTGAGGTGACCATATTGATGCCGCGTCTGACTTCCTCTTAAGCCATTCATCCATCGTCTCATTGACAGACCTGCCATGCGTGCGTCTGCCTCCTGCCTCAGGAGTGGGAACGTGTATGTAGCTGACAGTCATCTGCCCATCAGAAAAAAACTGCTGATTGGAATTCAGAACTCGCGACAACTTGTCGATAACGACCTGACCTGAAAGCTGGTCTGCACGTCTCATAGAGAACCATAGAGGATTCTCTACGTTGTGATTATTAGCGATCTCAAGGACTACCATGTCGTCGTCCTTTGACCCTACAGCTGTGCGCTGTCGTTCTAACACTTTATCAAACATGGAGGTCATGAGAGCTTCAGAGGGAAGTGACTCGCCCAAACCTTTTATAACTATCACTTCTTCTCTAAACTTAATGTCTTTAAATCGCTTGAGTACCCGCTCACGTGTCTGCATTACCTCCAAGGTAGGTCCTTCCTCCTCCTCCTTCTCCTCCTCACGATGGCGTTTGGCTGCTCCTGGTGAGCGGGACAGACCTGGCTGAGGTGAGGGAGAGCGTGTTCTAGAGGGGCCTGGCTGAGGGGATGGCGACCTCGGGGGAGGCGGCGTGGCGGCCCGTGGCGTCGTGGGCCTTACCGGTGGTGCAGTGGGGCGTGGCGCCTCTGCAGGGGGTGAAGCAGGGCGTGGCGGAGGCGTGGTGGCCCGAGGTGGCGCATTTGAACCACAGCCTACCATGGCCAAGGCCATGCTGTAAGTTAGGGCTGCTTGAGGATCAGACCTCCTCAGGTCCTTCAAGTACGCCTGATACCCAGCAAGCAAGAACGGAATGACCCTTGGGTCTTGCCGCTCTGCTGCAGTGGCCCCAACGAGCTGCCCGAGAAACGTCTTGTACGCCTCTGCGAGCAGCTCCGGAAACATAAACATGCCTTCCTCCCACTCGTCCAGAATCTCCAACAACTTGGATGAGTCCATGGCGGTGAGAGTGAAGAGACGGGGTAAGGAACGGCGCGAAGACCGAAGGAACGGCGCGAAGACCGAAGGAGCGGCACGAAGACCGAAGGAGTGGTGAAGGAGTAAGGAGATGGTGTATCGCGGACGAGGCCGGAGGGACAATGTGTCGCGGACGAAGCCGGAGGGACAATGATGCCTGACCGCTCCGACCGCTCTAGCTTTATACCCGCGCCTCGGCGCCTGCAGCGCCG